CTGAGGCGACACTTGTACACGGTTCTTCGTTGTTTCCAGTATCTTCCCCTCAGAGGGTAGATACTTATAGGTGAGCCGTGCCCTCAAAGGCAGTTAGCACGATAATTTGGTACTCAACCTAAAATGCTAGCAGGGCGCATGTAGTGGGGAAAATGGCGAAAAACGAAGTGAAACGGTCAAAAAACTGCGAAGAAAAGCCTTCGTTCTAATGACTCGAAAAGCAATTTCGGACGAGTTTCCCCGAGGCATCTTGCCAATAACCGCTACGGTAGGTACGGCTGCACGTATGTACTCATATATCCATGCAGCACCGCGGCCGCTTCATGTCAATCCCTTCGCTTCATATTTTGCTTCGCAAATGAAGCAATATGAGCATCGTCCTTTGTGGGGAGCGGGCGTGGTGGGCGTTCGGGTCGGTGTGTTGTGACTTGTGTTGTGACTAGGGACATATAAGGTACCTTCCTCGAAAAAGGCGTTACGCAGCGCCTGCTCAGGGTCGCGGAATTCCGTCCTGCCAGGCGTATTAATCCTACTCGTCTTAGGGATTTATCGTGCCAACTGCCTTTAAGCAGCAGTTATCGTAATGGCTCTGAAAACTCTTGTCTGTTATTATGGAGAAAAAGTTTCTACCGCAATCCAACATTTACTTGACTCAGATTTGTCGAGAAATCGTGTTTTACTCGTTCCCGTTCAGGCAACGGTCATGCTCCATCTGTGTTCCCATCGTCTCTGGGAAATGCCACAGCTGCCGTATCAAACGTCTCAAGTATGGTTGAAGGTGCTGGTGCAAAAGTTTTTTCTTTCTTCAAATAAGTTTTGTTTTTATCAATATTCTGAAGGCATATACATAGAAAAATAGCGTAGGACTATTATTCAATTCTAGTCGTTTCTTCTAGGCACTATTCATTATTCCTCTATTACTAATGTATAAAAGCTCTATCGGTTTCTGTCCGCTTTTTTGGTAGATTCTCAACCCAATGATCTATTGAATTGCTCCTAACTACTATAATTCTCAGTCTTTCTGTTTGCTTCTCCCAATTGTGCATTTATAGATTGCAAATGTGTATGAAATCGCTTTACGGTTAACGGCTGGCTTCTGTGGAAAAATCGATTTTTTGGAACCTTATCGTGGGAATGGGCCTGGTCCTAACATGTGAAAACTGGGCACGCGGTCGCAAGCGGTCATCTGCGCATCGCAGGGCGTTAACGCGCGGCATGGTGCTTGTCCGTGATCACATATGCTTCTAAGTTTCAGAGTCTACGTGCCATAGACCCGTGGGACAGAACTAATGCCACCCTGGCAAAATCATCAAAAAAATTTTCCACAAAAGCAAGCTCCATTTTCTTCCGGACCTCTCTCTGAATGTGAATGGAGCCTCAGCCCGAGTTTCGCTTCATAGAATGTGATCAATTAGGATGCAAATACAATAATATTAATAAATATACGACGAAATAGGATGACAGCCGAATTGTACCCTTTACTTTGGAAGTACTGGTAATGTCCTCCTATTTCGTATAGCCTTTGCAGCACTTGCGGCTCCAAACCGTCAACCTTCCCGCTATGCAGCTATCGCTGCACAACTCACTCAAGTAAAGGATTACTCCTATAACCGCAAGTGCTGCTACAAAAGCGCCTCTTTCTCCTTAACTATAGCGATAAGACTGATTTAGCAACTCCACTAGTACTTGCTTGGAACAGGTTGTTCACTTAATTATTGTTGTATTTGTTTAACCATGTATGCTTGCCTTCCACTATACAGAATAAGGAACCAAAGTTTTATCATATTAATAAATATAATGTATCATTGGTTGATGAACAGATAAACAACTCAAAGGCACGGCCGCGTCCAAAAATGGTGATTTTCGCCGTTCAAATACTGTGCGAAGACGGTAAACAATAAAAAGTGGAGAAAAAAAAGCAAAAAAACTCTTCCGAAATCACCCATATATGACCCGTGCAGAATAGCGTTTGTACACTATAATACAAAGAAAAGGCGTGGGTGGACGACTTATTTTTTGTTGATGCCCTCTTTCTAATTGTCACTTCACTTGCAACATTCTAATTAGAAAGAGTTAGTTACAACAATCGCAGTATCAGAAAGCAATTGAAAACGAAACTTAGGCGCTACCTCGGCCAATGGGCGGGACTGTGTTTCCGTCGCGAGCAGGCAGCGCTTTAGGCTGCGTTTATACTTTGCGGCAGCGTAGCGTAGCGCTTCCAGCGTACGCCAGCGGCAGTGCCGGGAGAGGATGCATATCGATCTAGCTTCACCAGCGTTTTGCTAGCGTTTGCAGCGGCAGGGGAGTAGAGACTATGGGAGAGCTGGAGGGTACAAAACACATCGATTGCGCGTCTCTCACTCGCCCTCAGTCTCTACAATACACATCGATTCCGCGTCTCTGACGGCCACATAGTCTCTACTGATAACATCAGTACGATTCCGAGGCCTCTAGAGGCCACACAGTCTCTACAATACACGTCGATTCCGCGTCTCTGCCGGCCACATAGTCTCTACAATACACATCGATTGCGCGTCTCTTACGGCCACATAGTCTCTACAATACACAACGATTGCGCGTCTCTTACGGCCACATAGTCTCTACAATACACAACGATTGCGCGTCTCTTACGGCCACATAGTCTCTACTCCCCTTGCCGCTGCAAACGCCAGGCAAAACCGCTGCGTAAACCTGGAGAAACGCTGGCTACGCTAGCCGTTACGCTGGTTGACGCGGGTGAGCGCTAGATCGATATCGTCAGGGCACAGCATTCGATGGGGATTTTGGTCGAGCTCGTACGACCCCCCCCTTTTTGGGGGGTTCGGTACGACCCCCCCCCCTTTTTTGCCGTTTGGTTTTTTTTGTGATGCGTATCGATACGCATCACAAAAATTCCGCAGAACCGCTGCGTTTCGGCGGCCGGGGAAAAAGCAATAGATGCGTATCGATACGCATCAAAAACTTTTCGCCGAATCGCTGCGTTTCGGCGGCTGGGTAAAAAGCAATAGCAATCAGCAAAGTAAAAAGCAATAGCAAAGCAATAAAAGCCACAAGCTTAAGCAGCCAGTTTGATGACGTATCGATAGCTCAGGACGTTTCGCCGAATCGCTGCGTTTCGGCGGCGGTTCAGCAGAACAGAATCGGCTCCAACAAAATAAATAAAAATATAAAAGCGAAATAGGACGAATACAATCGAAACAGGATGAATAGAAATGAACGAAAACGCTAAAACCTTCTACTCGGCTAAAAATGCATTAACCCCGAGATGTGGGGTACGGCAGCAGAAGCGCGTGTGTAATTGCAGCTTTGACTGGAGCAAAACGGCTATTAGCCATGGCGCAGTCGGCGCGGCGAGAATTTTTATCAAAAGTAGCGGTGTCTTTGAAGGACCATAACTTCTCAAACGCGTACCTGTGCGGAGAGGAGAGGCGTGTATTCGGCAGAATCTAGAAGGTTTTAATCTTCCTGAAAGAAAAAATACTAAAAGTTCCATGAAGGTCGCAAACTCACAGAGAAAAGCCTGCCATGGGATTCCGTTAGGGAGAGGGTTGAAGTTCCAGCATTGCACAGCGTTTGAACAATATATTCTTTTTTTGTAACTCAACATTTCACAAATCTGAGAACGGATCCGAGCTTCTCAAGATTTTCTCTTTCTAAAAACCTATTGAACTGTTCCTGAAGCTCTCGGATTCATGAGATCTCGCGGATGTGGGATTTCTTAGACACTATCCCAGCGCGAAAAACCCGTTTCCTGTGCACCGTTTCAAGTGAGCGTGTTCGAATAGCCAGGAACGCATGTAGAACGTATCCTGTGGTGGAGCAGGAGCAGGATATGGTTCGTTTAGCGCCGATCACGCTGACTTTGTATGCGCCGCGCACTGAGGTCCGCGCAGAAGTGATGGGATGGTGCAACTTGTGCATAATGTCTGTTCAACCGCGAGCAAATCTGTGTCTATAGTATTCAGGCGACGTCTATGACAACGCTTTGCACTTGTGTTACATGTTTTCCTTGTGGTGATGAGCTTGTCTGATGGGTCGACGCCGCCCGATCTGTGCTCCTCCAATTGCTGTCTCCGATAAAGGAGACCAACTGCTGGAAAACGTCTGATACGAACGATATGGTAGTCGTGTCGCTTGTCGAAAAAAATAGGCTGGCTCAGCCCCAAGCGCAATCGCGGACACGCCCCATCATTCTGAGCAAATCAGAGTATTGGTATTACGTTTAGTCATCACGACTTACGAGATGATGCCGACTCATTTAAATTCCAGTTATTTCGCATTTTTATGGCTGAAAAATTTGTCCTTTTTTTCAAATATTCGAGTTCTCTACAAAGTAAGCTTCGCTGTACCGGACTCAGCACATTGACACCTTTGCGCTGCTCGATACTGGCTACGCACTCATTACGACCCCCCCCTCTCCTGGCGGCCAAATACGACCCCCCCCATGGGGATTCCCCAACCAATGCTGTGCCCTGATATCCATCCTCTCCCGGCACTGCCGCTGGCGTACGCTGGAAGCGCTACGCTACGCTGCCGCAAAGTATAAACGCAGCCTTACTCATGTGTTTTGGAGCTGCAAAAGTGGTACGTGACTTGCTAATTGGAATCGAAGGGCTTGAGTCACGAAGAAGACGGAATATCCAAGTGTGTCACCTGACCTAAACCCCCTCGATTACCGGGTTTGGGAGGAGCTCAACAGGGTGGTCTACAGTGGCGGAGAAATCAACGACCTCGCTGAACTCAGGCACCGAATCACGGTCGCGTGGCAGAATCTCTCGATGGCGCTCGTCCAGAACGTCTATATGGCCTTGAAAGTTAGGAGAAGTGTCTTCATGTTGTCCCCCTGTATACTCCACATCGCTGCGGATGAAAGTCAAGCAGTGTGAGCGTGGCACGGTGCCAAACCCATTTCCAGCCAGTCGTTGAAGTGGATTGGCAACAACTGGTACAAAACGAGTGATACGAACGATGTGATACAGTCTTGTCACTTGCTCGCATCAAGAAGAGGTGGAGAACAGGTTGGCACCGCGCCAAACTCATCCCGCCTGACACGCCCAAACTAGACTATACACTGGAGTCTTTGATTTCCTGAGAGTAGTGGGTAATGGTTTCCGGAGTGTAGTGGGAAACAAATACTTTACCTATGAGAAGGCGATTCGAATAGAGTTACAATTCGATAGAACGTTGCATTTGCCTTTCTCGTTAATGGCTGTTAGCACGATAAGTCGATATTAACTATCTATAAGTCGGAAAGTGAACCAAGGAGCTTCAATTTTTGCTTAATAGAGTTGGGAGGGCATTAGTGAAGACCATGTATTGAAGAAATTTGCGTTGCTCTGCTAATTGTGCATGAGGGTATGCGTCCATGATCTCCTTGCGTATTCTATTTGAAAAAACTACAGGAGATTCTCCTGGTTCCATACGCATGTTCATGATCTTTTCCCTAGCTTGGTCGAGGAACTGGTCCGTTCGAGAAGTGTTGCCTTAAGCTTGGTTATTGCTTCGCGCCAATTCTGTTTTTCTGCATCGGAAAAATTTTCGAAAACTGCTTTTGCCACTCCTTTGAGGTGAGCCAGAAGTAAGCGTACCATTTTAGCTTTGGTGAGCCCCATGTTTCGCAGTTCGTTGAATTTTTCTTAAAAATCCATAAAACCAGCGCCCACCTTTTCTCCAGCGGACGTGGGAGCCTACTAGCATATGATGCTAGACAAAGTTTATCAAATGCTGATTCTAAGCGGTCTGCAACATAGTTGTTATTGTCCATGTTGACGTTCAATAGCACTGAATTGGTGTGTTTTAAAGTTGGTTGAATGTAGCTAAGTTGAGCTTCAGCTGCTGCGTTGAGAGAATTTTCCACCTCAGCAGCAGGTATACCGTTTAACTCTGGTGTTGGGGAGCGCAAGAGTTCAGTTGATGAATACGGAGTTAAAGAGGAACTACTATAATCAGGTAGTGGCGGTAGGAGTGGGTGGTCTGAGGGGGGGGGAACTGATTTCGCCCTGCTATATACTGGTTTCGCTTCTACCCTTGCTGCAGAAGCTGGTTGGGATAATGGTCTGAACTCTCCTCTGCGTTTTGGTCTTTTCTTATCCGGGGTTTGAGGTAGACGAACTCTAGTTCCTCTCCGCTTGACTGATCTCCTTCTTGGGGTTAGGCG